TATACCATATGTATACAGTATACAATATATATTATATACATGAAATCATGTAATATTATTCAGCCATGAGAAAGAAGGAAAATCTTACCATTTATGACACTATAGATGGACTCGAGGGCGTTATGCTAAGTGAGATTAGTCAGGCAGAAAAAGATCATTATCATTTATCACTTAAATGTATTATCAAAAAAAGCCAAACTCACAGAAACAGAGAATGGTGGTTACCAGGGATGGGGCGGGGGGAGGGCAAGGGAAGTAAAATGTTGGTCAAATGGTACAAATTTGCAGTTAGAGGACGAATAAGTTCTGGGGATCTAATGTACATCCTTTTGATTGTAGTTCATAATAACGTATTCCTGAAAGTTGCTAAGAGTCGATCTTAAACAGAATGTGATGGAGGGTTTAGCTAAGACTACTGTAGTAATCATACTGCAATACAGAAGTGTGCTGACATGTTGTACTCCTTAAATGTATAAAATATTATAGGTTATTTATATCTCAGTTTAAGAAAAAAGAAAGAAAAGGTTTTCCTCTACATGGGTTTCCACCCCTGGCTTCCGACATGGACTTCATTATTCACTGTGTCTCTTTTGTACACTAGTTTAAGAGGAAGTCCTCTGAAATGTATCTTTCCTGGGTATTGCTGGGTGCCAACAACTTCCTCTTAAAATGAACAAACGAAGGAGCAGCAGCAGAAATAGCACCGCGATCACACCTTTCCCTTTTTCACTCTAATCTCATGTCTTTAGGAAATGCATGTGTCGGAACCTAAAACCTGTGCGCAAGTATTTTTAGCACTAATGCACCCAAAGCCCTGCTCTCTGCATTTGCACATGCCTCTCAATTCTTGTATGCAGGAGGACCTAAGAGTACACATATTAAGAGCACAAAACGATATTGGGCATGTTTATCTTCTCGCCACTCTTGAATTCAAGTATCAAAATGGGAACCTCAAAGTATCCCTCATTGAGGAACACCCGGCCACTAAATTTCTGAAGCCGGCAAAAAGCCCATGGCTCTGTACCTAAAACCTCCCGCCTTCTAGGACCCAATATCAGACCCAGACCACGGCAGTGTCAGGAGAAAAAAGGGCCAAAGGAGCTCCAAAGCAGATTCCATCTGTCAGTTTTGTGGTTTCTACATCATGAAGGAGGAGTTGTGCAGAGAGCATATTAATCCTTAGGACCAAAGACTCTTTTCTCTTGCATAAGAATAAAGGAACACTTAAAGTCCTGAACTTTATAACTTTTTACAACTTATATAACTTATTACAACTATATCAGACTGCAATTCACTCATGTCCAGAAGCCACGAGACTGCCCACAGCACTGAACTGTGGGACTGAAGACAACGTCACCCTCTGCCCGCAGTCCCTCAGAATCACAGTTACGGTATGTTAGCTCAAGAAGAGACCTCAGATTTCATCTGGCTCAACAACTTCATTTTATATGTCTGTAAAAGCAGCACAAAGATGAGAATGACCTTAGTGATAGGAGCAATGAAAATCATCTCCACTCTTCAACTTTGAGTTTATGGTATTTTTCAGCTAACTGCCTCATTTTTCTCAGGATAGTGCTTTCCTTTATACTACCTTCTTCACAGGACTGAATTTTAAGTTCCTGATATAAAAAGAAGTTTATTGAGGCGCCTGGGTGGCTCAGTCAGTTCAGCGTCCAACTCTTGATCTCAATTCAGGTCATGATCTCACGGTTCGTGAGATCAAGCCCCACGGCAGGCTCTGCGCTGATAGCGCAGGATTCTCTCTCCCTCTCTCTCTGGCCCTGCCCTGTTCACGTACACTCTCTCTCAAAATAAAAAATAAACAAACAAAATAAATAAAATTCTATTGCAAAATATAAATTTCTCTATCCCTGGCTTGGCTACTGGTTAAACATTTCCTATTAAGGTACACTAATAAAGCCAACTGCAAATACAGTGCTTTTCTTTATCATTCAACCATAAGGCAATGTAGTAACACATAGTAAAGTTAGTTTAGATTTGATGTGCATGTCACAGTCAACTGAATTGTGTTTGGCAATGGATACTTTCCAAAGAACAGAGATGATTAAGCTTGAAAATAAAACCCAGCCTGAGAAATACAAACCAGTAAAATGTAATCTCAAAAAGCACATATTAAATAAGTATATTTTATAACTCAAGATTTTAGAAGAATATACTAACCTTAAATTTTTTCCTAAGAGGAAAAAAGCATTATCTAACAGAACCCATTTTCCTACTGTAATCTAAATATACATTCCTTTAAGCCAAAAGAATTAGAGTAAAAAGTTTTATACTTCCTAGAAAACTTGTTTGATCTGTGGATTTAATCCTATATGATAAAAATGTTCCAAGTATGAAATATAGAGTATAAATCCTTAGCTGTATGGCAAATGCTTTGGCATGCAGATGCTTTTTTCCATATTTTAATGAAAACCAGATTTATTTATAAGTTGCTTTAATTTCATTCTCGAATGGAATGGAACAAGAGTATCATATGTTCTGAATTAGGATCTTACTCACATCCCATATCAATTATGTAACTCAAATGCAAGACAACTTAATTGTGTCAATCATATTCCCCTGACAAGATCATTAAATGTTAACAGAGAGCTTCCAACTTTTAACAGCCATAGATTTTTAAATATAAATTATTCTATGAAAAATACAGATACCTCATACGAGTTTGGGATTAAGTATTATAGTTTCTGGCTTCTAACAGTAATTTTTGAAATTAGAATATTGTGAACATAAGGTTTCTGTTTGATAACATCTTTTTAAAGGTTTCTGTTTCACAATGATACATCAAATCTCACAGAAAATAAGCACACCTGAAAGATCTTAACTGCAATTTATTGTCAAACCCTAAAATAAAAGCATAAAAGCATATCAATATCCTATTGATCTCAGAAATACTGCTATGTAACTTTAAAAATAACACTGCCCTAGACAGTTATTACCATAACACTTGTTTCTTAATTATTTTACAGCATCAAGCTTTAAAGATTAATGATTTATCTATATTCCAGCCAATTAATATAGTCTCTTATTAATGTTCTTCAAAATTCTGAAGTCCAAAATAAGCAAATGTACACTTCATGTACAACAGAATGAGACTGCCCAAGAGATGTGCAATTTTCTGAAACAGAGATGATACAAACTGGCCACAGTATTTTGATGTATAGCCTTAAAAACCAATTTCTGACATATAAAAATATGACTTTAATCAATTTTACTCTAATACGAGAAAGACAGGAGGTATTATTTTTTAAATAACCAAACCAGCAAAAAAAAAAAAAAAAATCCCAACAAAATTACAATTGATTTAAATTGAAGCTATGGTAAAAGTATTGCATTTAGAGAAAGAAGACTTAAATTTTAATAGCAATTCTGTCTTCTACTACTTTAATTATTTCTAAAATTTTATATGCACTTTTATCCCTTCTCTTTCCACAAAGATATATGACAATAAAAAAATGTTAACAGAAGTCACCAAATACAGGAGCAAGAAAAAGGCAAAACACATGTGACAACTATTAGGATTAACAGTTTATGCAACACATTCCAATTTGACTCTGACCTTCCTGGCAGAAAAAACAGGGCAAATTCACCTTTCACAGAGTTATTATTTTTGAAATTTCTTTATGTTTAATTGAGGGTATATTTGACATACAACATTATGGAATTTCTTCATTCTCCACATTTACACTATGCTATCAGCTTACAAAAAGTATGTATATATATAATAGCGTATCTGATCATCTCAACAACTTTGTTAAGAAGGCAACACTGGTACCCTCATTAAGCCAAGTGAAGAAATCCAAGGCTCAGAATTAAGTCATATGGCCAAAAGAAGTAAAATTAATTTCCTGAGGTCACTGAATGTCACGTGGTTAGAACACATCTCCTTACTCTTATTCTAACATTCCTGATTCTACTTCTCATTGCCTCGAGTTCTTAGCCCTAAACTATAAAAGAAACTTGTAACATAGAATTTTTTTTAATAATAGAAATTGTCCGCAATATTTTCACAGCAATGCAAAAGTGAATATAACATAGCTATTTCTTATAGCAATTGTTCATCAAACTAAGAGCACAAAACGTAAAAGTAACCATATAAAGCTGTAGATAAAGTGAGGCAGTTGTGAACACCAAATGTGATAATGAATGTGGAAACCCTATAAACTGTAATGTACTACACAAAGGCAAGATATTTTCTGATGATGAAAAATCATGCAGGACTTTGATTCCTATTCAGATATGAAGTACACCATACTTCCCTCATAAATATGTATTTGCAGTTGTCTAAGTAGAGGTTTTTCATGGAAGCCAAGTTGCAAAAGCTAAAAAGTTAATTTTGAAACCTTGCCCTTCAGTCCAGAACAAGTCCAAATATTAGAGCAAAACAGCCAAATATTTATATCTAAAAGTCTGACAGGTTTTTGTACTATGGTTTAGAAATTATGTGAAATGACTTGATGACATTTAGAATTTATTCTGTATTTTCATGTTTATTCTTCTCAAAGTTTCTTTTTCTTTGCAAGGAAAAATATAATTGTTTTTTCCCATAAAAAGAGATGAGTCATTGGTCTTTAGAACCCAGTATTTTTTAAATAAGGAGAAAGGAAGTATAATGTGGTTTTGTATTGTTTATAATATTGTTAAAAAACAGGAACTGAAATAATTAAATCCCTGCAAATCTTTTATTTTTGCAAACTCTGCTTTAGAATAGAAATCTCACCAGTGTGGTTGTAACTTTATCACTGGGGTTTGCTGAGAAGCGACAGCGTATTAACCACTCCCCTTCTTTTGTTTAAGACCTTTACCGGCAGGACTTTCCACTAACCCCCATTTCCCACCTCAATTTTTCACTGAAAGAAGAAATTTCTCCTTTCTTCTCCAAGGAACAGTCCCTTCCTGTCTTTGCCTAATACACCAAATCATGAATAAATATTTATTGAGTTAATAAATTAATGGACACAACAGGGAATATTTTTTCTTACCCAGTATGGTCGCCTGACAAAAATTCTGCAATAGCAGCAGGAAGCTCTGTTTTAATAATTAAAAGATAAGATGACATAGCTGCAAACAAGATAAAAATAGTTTCTATTAGATTTCTATATTTCTTAACCATTTAAAGAATAATTTGTACAGAAACACAGATGTCCATTAGGGCTTTGACAACATGTGGAAGATTAACTCATATTGCATTATCCCAAAGGTATATACACACCAGGAATGGAGATAAATAACTGTGTAGAGAATAATTGGTAGTTCATTATTCAAAACATCAAAAGATGTTTTGTTTACATTTCAAACCCAAGACAAAGTATTTAGGTAAGAGAAAGGGTGTTAATTACAGGCCATTTATAAATGAAAATTTTTTGGATGTTCTGCACACATTCGTATGTTATCAACCCTGTTCAAGCCATCAGAGGTTAGTTTAGCAACAACTGATACAGAAAATGGACTTTAATAAGTACTAGAGAGAGACCCCCCCCCAAAGAAGTCTCATTTCCTTCCTTTCCCTTTCTCTGAATCCCCCCAACACATTATGCATAAGTTATTATAAAATAAAAATAAAATGCATGAGTTACATTTTTAATTGTCCTCTAAAACTGATTAGAAAATATTCAGTGGTAACCACTAAGCATATTAAATGGACAAAACTTACAACTTTTATTCCACTTTATTAACAGAGCTCATCTGTATGATGCAATCAAAGCCCGAAGCTAGCATTATTTCTTACATTTGATCTGACCGCATCCAAGAAAGAACTAGTTTTTATAGCATTTTAATAATGATCCCATTTCTGATGTAGCCATAAAAAAAATCCTATACACCTTCCAACATATATTAGGAAATATTTCAATATGGCTACAGAATATAGAACTCATTTATATGTAAATACTTGAGTTTAAGCTTACATATTTAAGTATATAGAAACCCAGATGATTGGAGTCAGAACTTCAGTTTAACAGAGTAATAATCTCTCTTTCCCCCAGAGATTAAATATTAAAAAAGGGCCAACAAGAATATGTCCAAATAGAATAAAGAGTGTACTCTGTACGCATGTTAATTTTATTACTTATTTATATTTCAGGAAATATTTTACTTTCTCCTTGGACCTACAAAGAACACAAATGAATGCCAAGTCTGAATGGTAAAGTTCTGGGGAAAAATTGTTTGAAAGTCTCAAATGTTTAAAAAGAAGAATGCGTTTTTCTCAAACAGCATGTGTAAATGTAGCTGAACTTCTCCACAATTATTACAGTGCTATGTGACCACTTGAGAAAGAAAAAAATGAAATATACTATTTTGAATATAAATTATAAGAAGATAGACAATAATTACACATACAAACACACATACACAATTTTTTTAGTAAAGTAACACACCCATGGCAAAATAAAATTTAGAACAGCTAAGTAAATAACTTCTCAATGAAAATTCGTATATGCATACATTTTCCAGTTTATGACTATTTATTTTCCCCCATTAGGATGGTTGTTGAGGTGTAGCTTTTCCCCCAATAGAAGTACAGGACATATCTTCAAACTCTCTTAGTTTTGGGGCATTGCAATTGATTGTATATGAAAAGGTGTTCTGTATCATTAATTCAAAAGGAAAAATTCAATTTGACACAGAACAGAAAGAAGGTTTAGATTAACCTCCTTCACTTAAGGATTTGGGGTCTTGTTTATAATGTTTTATCTATTCCAAAGAATCATAGATATATGGTATGATGTTGAAAATCATGAGCTGAATTTTCTGCAACTGGCGAGCTGCTTAAATATATCTTGCAAGGAAAAAAAAAGACAAAAGTACCTTGAACACAAGGAATGCAGACTTCCTATACAACGTAATTTATTATCTGCCCATCAGTCTTTCTTGCTTGGATTAATCCAACACCACATGCATTTCTAAAGTTTCAGACATTCATCTCCTTCAGTAATTTTCTATTATTTCTTTTAGATCTTTAGCTGTAAAAGCTTCAATGAATATGATATCGTATTTCTTGCTAATATACAATCTGTCATTCTTCCCAGAATTTCTATTAGCCCCTGGCTAATCATTTGATCACTTTTATGCTCTATTGTAGCCTTAACTCTTTGGTTTTCAAATGGGAGTCCTATTTCATTAGATTGTAGTCTGAAGAATCATGTATATTTCAAGAAATATGAACTCACCAAACATATGTTTCTCTCTCAAAAAGAGATCTCAGTATACAAGATATAATCAAACATGCAAATAGTGCTTCTTTCTCAGAGAATGATAGTGTTTGTTTTAAGAGCTACAAAACCACAGAGCTCCTGATAGAGAAAAGCCCCTGTGATTAAGCAAGCAAAACAAAGATACTATCCTTTTCAGTGTAGTCATTATTTTTTATTCACCACAAGTAAACTTCCATGCAAGAACTAGCACCTTAACATATCATATATTAATACAGAGAAGAAACCAAACGGACTACCAAATATACATTAACTTGGGAAATACATCTTAGATTCACATAAAAAGGACAACCAGCTCAATAAAATAAAAAAGTTTTAAATATATAATTATCAACAGGAGAGCTCATATATCCATTGTTTATAACCAAAAGGTTCACTAGATCAAACAGCTGCCAGCCACACCTTTTGTCTTATGTCTTCTATTAATGGCATAAGGAAGTGTTTAAAGACTTATCTTAGAGACAGGTCATAAGCAAGAATTTCTAAATGATTTTTGCTGACATCCATACATAGCATAGACTCCTAATACAAGACACACCATGTTGTACTCTAAATTAATAGCTGTAACAGGGTCATCCATTTTAGCCATGACTATAGTTAAGTGATTCTGGCCCCCCACACTACCAAGACAGAATTGGTGCTAAAAGACATACCTTGATGACAGGTATTCAAGCCATTACAAATCATTTAGTTTTACCACATTACCTAAATAAGTATTTTCTCCTTCATTTTAAACATAACCAATAGAACTCATTCAATGCAAACTGCCCTGGGAAGGAAATTTCAAAAAAATCTGTCAAGCCAAACAAAACACAGAAGCTGAAAGTATTCTTTGAAAACCATGTGGAAAAGCAAGTGTTATATTAAGAAGTGACTAAAATAGGGTAAAATTTGATTAGACAATAGCAAGTAGTAAGCTATTAATACTCGTTGATCTAATCATAAAAGAGGAACACATGAGCTGGAAACATGGATACTCAAGGAAGGAATGCCAGAAACACAGAACAGGGCCAAGAGACCTGTGAGAGAAATACCATGAGAACAGTGAGCATTTTTGGGTTTTAGATGCTATTCCATGCTGGACAGTATTCTAAGTGATTTGCAAGTTATTTCCTCTTTAACTTTTACCACAGAGCTGTGAGGTAGATATTTATTTCACAGATAAAGATATGGAGGCACAAAGAAGTAAGTTGCCTAAGATAGTAATGGTAGAAACAGCCAGTCTGGTCTGAGAAATTTGCACTATTAACCATTATGGAAAAGTGCAGGAGCGAAGTGAAGAAGAAATCCACCACACCAAAGAAAAAATAAGGGAAGTCTATGAAAAAGACCACTCCCTAGAATTATTTTTTTTCTTCTGTCATGACCATTTCAGTAACAAATTGCTTATGAATGCTGGAGTTCAAAGAAATTAGTTAGAAGTCTTAAAAACACTTATGTTAATTTCACTTTGGCACGTATTTCCAATTTAATTTACTTCGGCTTTGTAGCTGGTTTGGTGAAGCTATTGGTTCAGCTAAGATTCCTCAGACAAGCTAAGAAGTTTCATGAGGGATTCTATTGCACCTACCAGTATGATTCTCCTGCATCTACAGCTATTATTGGAATTCACAGGAGAACATTTCCTATTCTCATATATTTGAGATATTAACATCAAACTGAAATGTAAAAATAATAATAATAATAATAAAAAAACAAAACACCAATCCCTCTTCCCAAAAACCCTGTATTCTTCTGGACTGTTCTTCCCAGGACCCCTTTAAAAAAAAAAATAAAGCCTCAATTGGAATCTGGGCCTAAGAAATCATTAGTTTGCAAAAATAATTATCCTTTTTGTTAAACTCTTAAAATACACGTATGAAGATAAGATTACATACAGCTATTTTTAAAACAGAATTAGGTTTTCAGCACTTGGAGGAAGTTCAGCAACTTCTTAAAGGATTAGTCAGCCAGCCCTAAACAGATGTACTATGGAAGGAAATAATAAGTTTGCCTTTCCGTCTGAGAGATTCAATTTTACTTCAAACATGTTTTTAGTCATGGATAGCAACTGGTTTATTCTATTTAACATGTTTATCAACCCAGGGTTCCTCCTAAATGTCCAAATGCCACTGAAAATCTATCCCCACTCTAAAGAGTACACAGCACAATCTCTTTTTCTAAAATCCTAAAAAATGTCACTTCCTGAATTTGTACACAAATGGAGATCAAAATATATGGAGGAGATTTTCTCACATAACCCTAAGAAAATCTACATCTTTATCATTTATCAAGATCTTAAATTTGAACACAATGGGGCCGAATATTTACTATCCTAAAATTTAAAAACATTTTTTTAAATGATTTATTTCTGAGAGAGAGAGAGAGACAGAGACAGAGACAGAGACAGAGACAGCATGAGCAGGGGAGGGTCAGAGAGAGAGGGAGATACAGAATCTGACACAGGCTCCAGGCTCTGAGCTGGCAGTCAGCACAGAGTCCGACTCGGGGCTCGAACCCACGAACCGTGAGATCATGACCTGAACCGAAGTCGGAGACTTAACTGACTGAGCCACCCAGGGGCCGCTACTATCCTAAAATCTTCTAATTAAACTTCAGTGAGTCATGGGACTAAATGGCACAATGAATACATAATGAATGTATTCAGATCTTGTAACAGCCACATAACAGGACAGATGGTAGGTACCCTTGTGATGAGCACAACATAATGAATAAACATGTCAAATCACTAAGTTGTACACCTGAAACTAACGTAACATTATGCATCCACTATACTCAAATAATTAAAAAAAACCATTACTAAGAAATACATTACTTTCAAAACCTTTTTAAAGTGACACATTGCTAGTA